CAACCTGCCCTCAAATCCTAAAACCCTGAAACCCTCCTAAAACCCTAAGCCCTAAAACCCTGAAACCCCTAAAACCCTAAACCCCTAAACCCCACAACCCCTAAACCCCTAAACCCCACAACCCCTAACCCCCTAAACCCCTAAACCCCCAAAACCCTAAAACCCTAAACCCCACAACCCTAGAAACCCTAAACCCCAAATCCCTAAAACCCTAAATCCCTGCACCCTAAATCCCTCACCCCTAAACCCTTCCGAGCCTGAAGGACGCCGAAGTACAGGCCGAGGATGCCTTGCCACCGGCCAGGGACCTACTGTATTTTTTAGGTTTATTGGGGTCATAGGTTTAGGGTTTAGGAGTTTAGGGGTTTAGGGTTTAGGGGTCATAGGTTTAGGGTTTAGGGTTTAGGGTTTAGGGATATTATCCCGCCATAATGGAGAATCAAATGGAACATGGAAACTACTATAATGGGGCTACATAGGGTTTAGGGTTTAGGTTTTGAGGTTTATGGTTTGGGGTTTAAGGTTTAAGGTTTTGGGTTTAAGGCTTAGTGTTTAGGGCTTAAGGTTGGGGGAGTCGGGTTTAACGGTTTAAGTAAAAGTTCAGGGTGTAGGGGCTTAAGGTTCAGGTTCTAGGTTCATGTTTAGGTCATCGCACAGCCCTAATCCTCAGGGGGTTTAGGGTTTAGGGTTCTGGGCTCCCCCTTAAGCACCGGTGAGAGAAGTCGGATGGAGGATCAGGGCTTTCTGTGGAAGTTGTTCTGGGGTTCGGTTCTCTGAGGGGATATAGTCCCCCTTAAGTAGATAGAATAAATAGAATATGGAGTATATGGGGGCCTTATTATAATATACCCAAAGCCATATTCTATCTACTTAAGGGGGGCTATAGGGTTATGACTTGGGATTTTAGGTTCAGGAGCCTCAACCCCTCAACCCTAAACCCTACATCCTAAATCCCAAATGCTGAACCCTTAATCGTGTGGATTTAAAGGTTGCCTAGGGGACAACAAGATATAGGCTAGGACTAGGTTTCCATCAAGAGGGTGACCCGGATATAGGCTCCAATATATTATGGTCCTGATTATAGGGCCCTCCACCCACCCTCCCCCCCGCAAAAAAATGAAGCGTACCACCCTAATTTCGGGAAACCTTCATGTTTACCAACATTGTCAGTTTTCTGTTTTGCTACTGAGTACCCTAAGCTGTTCTGGCCTTTGGTCTAGGGGCACCTAAGCCCAAAGCCCTGACAATCCTCGTTTGAGCAAAGTCCTCAGAATGTCCTAGGTGTTCCAATGCCTGGAGGTTTGAGCTTTCGGTTTTGCAGACCTGGCGGTTCAGGATTGAGGGTTTGGGGTGGAAGGTTTGGCGCAATACCACCAAGATTCAGTCGTGGTTCTAGTTTGCGTCAGGTCAAAGGACGCTACTTCACGGAGAGGCGCCTGGAGGACGGCTTCACCTAGGATGGAAGGTTTTCCACTTCAGGGTGCTGGTTGTTGGACTTCGGGTGCAAGTTTGAGATCTCGTTTTCCCAAAATGATTCAGGAGAGTAAGAAAAGGAACGAGAAGCTTGCTGAGGCCACATGCTGAGGTACCTTGAAATCCTTGAAGACACATCCTCAGTTCTCTACCTTCCTCAAGGGTTAGAACTGAGTTTTTGCTTGGGACTATTTAGATTTCCGCTTTGTGTACAGAGCTACCCTAAGCCTTTGCCTCCCCGGTTGAAGGACGACTTCATCGTGAGTGGGACGGTCTTGGGGACCGGCTGCAGCGGCGCTGTCCTAGCGGCCACCTGTCGACACCGGCCTGGTCGGTCGCTGGCTCCTCTATTGAGTGAATCCCAGAAAGCCCAATATCTTTTAAATAGGGGTACCTTGAATGATACCAGGATCCCTAATAGAATTTAAGATATATTCCCTAGTTCAGTGATATTGGGCTTTCTGGGAAGCTCACATCGGGTTTTCTACCAAAACTGGGTTAGCTTCAGGAGACTTTAGGGATGTAAAGTCACGATTAGAATCTGTTTGATGTAGATTGTATGTAGGAGTGTAGGATTGTATAGGGATTAAATAGGGTTTATACAGAGATTGTAGGGTATATATAGGGTGTACATAATTGTATTTTGTGAAGCTCACATGTCCAAGAAGGGGTCTCATGGAGAGTAAGATTGAACTTTTGGGAGTATGCCCTTGTAAGGAAAGGAGAAGATGGCCGATGTAACGTAAAGTTACTTGGTCTTGTCATGTATGGATAGCAGGAAGGTGGACGTTTAGGATTCATGAGAAGACCAGGTGTCCTTTGACAAGAAAGTACATTCTCTCGCATTCGGTTTTCATAGTTAAGTTAGACCCCCCCTCAAATATCCTCTTTAGAGCCCAAATACCACAAATAAGACCTACATCCAAGCGACCCTCTGTAAGGGTAGTTTTCGCGTCCTAGAAGACTGTAATCTTAAAGCCTAAAGCCCTCTTGATCGCTGCTGAAGTGGATTTCCCACCCTAGGATGTTTGAAAAGCTTTATCCTCGAGGGTTTCCAAAGAGTCGCAGTTAAGGTTTAGGGTCAGGGTCTAGGCAAGAATTAGAGCTGTTTTTGGGTCCGCCTAAGGAGGGTTGAATTATTCTCGTGTGGCTTATGAATTTTTAATCTCATGAAAGGTAGTCATGATGATACCTTCATAACTCTAAGCCTTAAGATCTCCACCCCAGAAACTATACCCTAAACCCCTAGACCCTAAATCCTAAACGCAAAACGCAAAACCTCTAGACCCTAAACAGTAAACCCTAAACCCCTAAACCCTCTAAACCCCAAACCCTACACCCTTAGCCAGGTATGCAATCAAAGGCTACGATCTGAATTATCTCCACCCAGATCAGAAGCAGAGGCTATTGGCAGAGCTTGAGGCCCTCTGGTGTCCGGAAACAGTCAGGGGAACAATGAGTTCAGGGGTTAGGGTATACGGATTAGGAAGTAAGGTCTAAGGATTAGGGTTAAGGAAGTAGAGTTTAGGGGTTAGGGTGTAGCTGCTAGGGTTTAGGGTTTAGGAATTAGGCTGTAGGGAATAGGGTTTCGGGTTCACGATTCAGGAATCGAGGTTTAGGAGTCAGGGTCGCAGCCAGGGTCTAGGGATTAGGGTTTAGGGTCTAGTAACCCGCCCTGAAAGAAACTCTTGACCCGAAGACCACCCCACATTCTTAGTAAGGACCCAGAGTCTCTAAAATAGTCTCCAATATGTCGTGGGGGAGTCTCCTTAAGCTTGCTTAGAAAATATTCCCGTGCAACAAGACTGTGCTGAGTAGTACAGATGGGAGGTCACTACGAAATGTAGTAAAGGAGGTTTTCTTGGGGCCAGAGAAAGAGGCGCAGCCATATTGATGTCTAGGGCGGGGAAGTTTATGGAACCAAGTGTTTGCGCGACAATGCGGTGTTCAATTTGTGTGGAGGAGTTCTGCGCCCATGAACGGAGCATGCATGGAATGCATGGGAAGAACAGGGTTTTCTGTCGTTATAAGATCACATTGCTCGTGTTTGTACATTTTGAGGCGACATCACGTTGATTTAGCGCAGGCTTCCATGTTTTTGGCTCCTCCCCTGTTGCGATGAAATTCCCACGCAGTCAGGTCTTTCTCAGCCTAGACCATCCGCACATCGCTCGGCTCCACTCAGTCTACGAGTCCAAAGACCAACTGAGCTTAGTGATGGAATGCATGGAAGCCAAACCTTGGTTGAACAAAGCTTTACTTTTTGAAGGGGTTAGTCCTGCATAGACTTCGAAGCGAACCTTATACCTTAGACCTTGAAACTCTGGAATTCCTGTGGGAGTCTTTCAAAACAAGCAACATATGGTTCAGACAAGACGCCGGAACGTGACTATCACCCGGAGTAGCCTTCGAAACATCCTGAACCAAATCTCGGTCCCTTACTGAGAAGCACCACGTGGGCAGCAGAGGAGGGTGGAGAGCTTTTCGAGCGCGTTTGTCAGAAGGCGTCTAGACACGAAATTTGGGAAGTTAGTGGGGTAATGTAGACCCGTGATTAATAAACCCCTCATTTCAAGGACCTTAATAGTAGGATCCCTATGATTGTCCCTATGAAGGAGGGGGATCTACATTGGGGTGTGGGGGCGAAGGGGCAGAGGCTCAGGGTACGGGGCGCAGGGGAAGGAAGTCACCCTAAACCCCAATTCCTGTTCTGTGGGCTTTGCTGGAGCTTCGGCTGCAGGAAATACCATACCATAATATACCATGATATATTATGATATACCAGAATGTACCATAGAACCATAATATACTATAATGATACCTCAATATACTTAAGAGCCTCCGG